ACATCAACACTTTCCTCTTTGTCTTCTTTGTCAGACATATCTTTCTCGCTTTCACCAGAGATACTTTCATCATCAGAATCATCTTTCTTATCATCAGAAGGATCCTTTTCAAATACAACCCCTTTGGAGTTTTTATCAGACATAATATTTTGAGATTTTTGAAGAGTCTCAATAGGAACAGACTCATTGTCAGCCTCATCTTCTGGAGCATCAGTTTGCTGAAATGATGTTCGAACATCTTCTTCGACATCCGTACTTTTCTCAATGATTAAATCATCAACTATAACATTAATGAATTCCATCATGACGTTGGTTCTAGAGTTAAAAGCCATATAAGCTTCTTCAGACATAATCTTCTTTCCACCTTTGAAATTCAGATGTCTAAGCTTCTGTTGCCACATCTTGACCTCATCTTTCTTTGACATTAAACACGTGGAGGAATTGTAAGTTTCTTCTGGTATCCATAAATAACACTTGTCTTTAGTCCTAACTCCCCTCATCAACACATCATGATTCTCATTTGTAACCAAACAATCAGACTTAGTGAATTTAACTTTAAGGACTTTGATCACATAACTGAATGATACTAACTATATTTGCATTCATACCTTTCACAAGCAGAACATCATCAAGACTATGGAGTTCTGTACAAGCTAGTCTTCCAACTCCTTTAATTTCACCTTTGGCCACACCACCAAAAGTAACAAAACTAGTGGAATAAGACTTGATATCCACTAGAAACCTCTTAACCCATGTCATATGTGTAGAACATCCAATGTCAAAGTACCAGTCTTCTCTAGATGAAGCTCTCAAAGCAGTATGGACTATAAGACTAGTATCAACAACTTTAGGTTTCCACTTCTTTCTAGTTTTAATCATCACATGATTAGCCCTAGGGTGTTTTGGATGTTTAGGATAACCATACACTTTGTAGCAGAATAGTTTTATATGACTATATTGTCACACCCTAAATTTGACCCATGTGTTTCAATCGTTAATTCACCTGCATTAGCATATTATATTTGTTTCATCTGATCATGGCATTTTATTTGGTACATTGTACTAGTCCATAACATACATTTACATAAAGTCGTATGTGTTTTGGTCATAGTCGTTCATTTGCATATTGCATTTTCAGATGGAATCTTACCTTCTACTATCATCATTGGTTTTTTTTAATATTTGAAATTTTGCATTTTTAACTAATATTTGACTCGAAACTTCTTTTTGCATTTTTATTAAACTTTCTTATAATATTTGCATTAATTCTTGTTTATAATAATTGATTTTTCTTGCAATTTTTTGAAATTAAAATTATCTTTTTAGAATGATTAAATTTAGAAAATAATTGATTTTTAAATTGATTAAGTTTTGTTTTTTTAATGTTACAGAAGCAGACCATTTTGTTATTTACAAAATAGGAGTTAGTTTTCACTTTGATTTTCTTTCAACTAAAAAATAGACGAGGAGTATTTTTTTAAAATAAATAGTTAAGTAGCACTATTGTTCTGTTCACATTTCAAGTAGTAGTATTGTTACTACAAGAAAACAATATATATATATATATATATATATATATATATTCTTATAACATGTGCTGTAGCGATCAATAAAAAAAAAGAAGAGATCTTTGTTGTCCTCTTTCCAGCTCCTTCCATCAACACCACTACCACAGAGTGTTTGAAACATGTGAAAGAGGCGAATGAAGGATATCTATGGTTTTTAACCCGGTCATGCACCGCTAGAGGGAACCGGATCCGGGTCGACCCGGACCGGCCCAATTCTGTTTTTATTTGAAAATTCATCTTGGGCTTATAAACTCTCCATCCGAATTCCACCCCGAATGGCCCATTTTCAATCATTTTCTATTTTTATCTTTTAGTTTAATTTGTAATAACTTTTATTTTGCAATTTTCTTTTATTGTATTGTTTGTTTATGATTAATATTATTAAATGATTTTATTTAACTTGATTAATTTAATTATTAATTTAGTTAAATAATTTCATTTAATTTGTTTAATCGTTTTTTTTATAGTTTTTTTTGCTTAAATATTTATTGTGTGCGCTTGTATGGACTTGTGTGCGCCTATTCACTTGAGATTAATCGTAAAAGTTGAGACAACTACGAAAATGAACAATGAAGTTGCCATCAAATGTTAATTATCCCGCAGGAGGGAAAGAAAAATATCGACTAAACTTGAGAGAAAATAAGGTATTGCGATCAAGAGAAGGGTACGAGAGTCGATTATGCAAGGAAAAGGTATTAGCACCCCTCATGTTCGTGGTACTCCACGGGATCCACTCTTGTTGTTCTAATCAAAGGGTGTGTCTATCTAAACTTGCAAGCTAAAGGGATGCATGAATGCAAAAGAAAAATACAGGGAAAACAAAGGTTTTAAATAGTTGTGCTCACTTAGGCCATGCAACCCAATACCTACGTATCATTTTTAAGGAATCAGAGTGTCGTAGTTCGGCTTAAAAGTTTCTGTTTGTTTGTATTTTTAATGAACGATGTTAATTTCGCATTCTACTAAAGCTTGACCCTTGGAGACTCACGCGTTGACGTAGAAAGGAATTAACATGTTCTTACTTGAAAGGGTTTTCAAAAGTTAAAGGCCCGAAGGAAAAAGAGTTTGAATTGGTTGAATGTTATTGGTAGGAGACCCCTCAAGTGGTCCTCCAAGAGGTACTTGAATTCATTTCCTTTAAGTTTTGAAAATGTTTTAGACATGTATCATGCTAAAGTCTATGACATGAAGACCCTTGGATGATCGGGTCAGATGCCACGAGTCTGAAGTCTTTTTCATTTATTAAGGCTCGTGGCACATCACATGTATCTTTACTTATTAAGTGTTTTTGAATTTTATTAAGAAATAGTTTTAATCTTAATGGATGCAAAAAGAAAGGAATGAAAAATCTAAGGGAAATTATATTCCTAATGTTATCATACAATGATGGTCCTAAAGTTAGGATTGAAAGGGAAAGCTGCCTAATGTTAGCATGCATTGTTTAAAACCTAATGTCTACCTTGATTCAAAGATGAAACAAGTGAACCTAAGGGAGCATACAAATAAGAACAAGAATGTAAACAATAAAATAAGATGACTTACAAGCCCACCAAACACCTAAGTGTATCACCTAACAAGCAAGCAATGATGAAATAACCCTAAGCCTCTAATACACATTTCAAGTCATCAATCAAGTAACGCGAATGCGTCACATAAAAAATACTAATATTCCCCTAAGGGTCATGCATAAGTGGTTTTACCCTAAGACATTACAAACCATATTAAAATTAATCAAAAAATTCACTAGCACTAAAGGCTTAAGGTGTAAAGATAACATCAATACTTAACATATAAAGATGATATGACTTAAGAAAGGTGAAATCTCAACCAAGAAAGCAATTATACATCCTAAAGCTCATCTAAATATGTCCCACAGATGGAGACAGAAATGCAAAAGAATCATGCAAAAGAAGGCTAAAGAAACTATACAAATGTCCACTAGTTCCTAGAGTTTACAAGACTATTCCTAAGGGAACGTGCAAGAAAGAACGAAATCAGAAACTCAATTCTAATTGAGTGACATATAGATTAACAATAAATAAAGGAACACAACAAATAAAACCACTTCACATGTCGTAGGACTTCAGATAATCAGTAAATTGCCTACTTCGATGTAGGGCTTTAAATAATCAGAAATTGCCTACTTTGAGGATTTCTTTAAACAATAAAAAATTGCCTACTTCAAGGTAAGTCTTTAAGAAATTAGAAATTACCTACTACAAGGTAGGTCTTTAGTCATGCATCTTATCCTACTTCTCATGGCATGATTGATTGAAAACAATGCAAAAACAAGGGAGTAAAAGAGAGCTAGGATGATACCTAACGGAGAAAGTTTGTTGCTTCTTCAAAGTCGTGCTGGCAATGAAAAAAATCTACACCAAACTTCCTTGAATTCCTTGATGAGGATTGCACACTTAAGTCGCTTCGAAACTCCTTAAAACTTTCCAACAAATTCTCTTTTTATCATATTTATGAGACTTTTTATAAGCTTAACCAAAAGCAATTATTTAATTAAGCAACCAGAGATCATAACTTGCCATTAAAACACTCACCATGCCAAGGAAATTGAATCAAGGTAAGCAATCAACAAGAACAACTCGAAAACCTAATTTTAACCATTTATCAAACATTAATTCAATTGACTCCTAAACTAATAGAAAAAATCAAGGAAAAATATCATCTAATCAGGAACCAATATGTTAACATACACATAAAATTCCAGCACAAAATTATGGAAGGAAATATCAAAATTAAATTGCTAAATTAAGAATAAAAGTGTAAATCAAATAAATAGCATGTGAGTGCAATGGTCCAGCACATGTGTGAATAGAAATAAATTTTTTTAGGCCCAGGCGCATGTGGCCTAATCTAATGGATCAACATCCCAACATTTTTCATCAATATTTTTTTTTCTTTTTTATCTCTGATTTATATACAAAATAATAGTTAAATTAAATTAAAAAAGAGAAATAATGAAATTGAAGGAACGATGTCGTTGGCATGTGTTAGGGTTGAAAAAGAAAATGTCTCTTCATCTTCCATGATCTTCTTCTTCATAGAGCCAAAACGCGTTGCTCACAAATCGTGTTATCTTTGTCGTCAGCTTCAATCTCCGTTCAGACGTGATGCTCCGATTTGCTTCGCTATCAACATCTCTGCCTGATTCACCCTAGATTCAACTCTCTTCGTTCTTCTCAAGTGAGAATTCCGGCGAGCTGATACCTCTGACATTGCTTCTTCAACTCGTCACCTTCTTCAATAGACCTAGCCTGAAATCCCTTTCCGAACCCATACCCCTTATCAATTTCACACAAAACTTCTTCAACCATGCATATTAAAGAATCAAATCAAGAAAAACCTAGTTTTCAGGGAGAGTTTTGAGTATTATTTTCTCTGCAAATTTAGTTATGTGACTTATTTCTTCTCTCTGATTTAATGAATTTTATCCTTCAATTGTGTAAGCATTTGAACATCCGGGATGAAATAATCTTTAATGTATTGCAAGTTTTTGACGGTTAATGAATGGTAACCGATTTGGTTCAACCTTATAATCCTTGTAAAGCTTGTAATCTTGAATTCACCTTGTGGTGTAATTGTATCTTGATGAATCATGTGAAGCATGGAATGTAACTTTTTGAAGTTGTAATGATAATTGAAATAACTCTTGAATTCACATGGATGTATTGATCTTTTCCACCTTATTAACTTTGAATTTTCAATCTTCCTTTGACTTTTGGCTTTAAGTTCAAGAAATCCAAATGTTAAAAACCTTTTTCAATTGTAACATGAATGAATCCTTGCCTCTCTCGCTAATCCATATTAACTTGTATTATAATTAACAAATAATTGAGATAAATAAAAATTCCTTGATCATAAGAAATTTATAACTGTGTTTCTTGGACCATGTCTCAACACCTTGTGCCATTCAATCTTAAAGACAAACTTAACTTGATAACCAATGACATTAAGACAAATACCTTGGGGAAATCCTTAAAGAAGATAAGATTTGAAGTAATAAAAAAACACCTCTAATGAACCTTGGTTGGCTTAGCTAACTCAAACATGATGAAAATGTAAATCCAAACTCTCTTGGTTTCAATGCTCAATGAGGAAGCAACTTAAGATGTTGAGGAGAAACCCAAATTCACTCCATACTCAAACACAAATATTTTTGAAGTATAGAGAAATAAACTTTGATTCAAGACTTTGGTGAATTTTGAGAAGAAAGGCCTTGTAGTTTGATGAAAAAGAGATTCACAATAACCATGAACACAAAACCCTGATTTGGGGGAACCAATTAAATGGAAGCTTGTGATCCATCTTTAGGCATTGAAATTATGATCTATTGATGATCTTTAAGAAATTTTAAATAGATAGAAGACCATGTGTCTTGACGAGAATGATCTTGATGGCTGGAATCTCAAGGTTGTATTGATTGATCATTGTATCTCCTTCTTGATAGGAGAAAACAATAATCCACTGATGAACTTGATCCTATATCACAAGAACCAATGTCATGCATGTATGAATGATATCGAATCATATGAGCCACTTAGGGTTAAAGTTGAGAGGGAAAATTTTGGGCTGCAACACAAGTCACGTGGCTTGTATTGATTAATCAAAACCTGACTAAAATACCTTAATAAAAGATCACACTCTTTTCACAAAAAGGACTAAATGGGAGGTTTAAGGTGCATGCCTCATTCGGCTCTAAGTGTGCGGGTGGACAAGAACATACTTGGACATTCCATAGAGCTCATATCCTAATAAAAACAATTCAACTCATCAAACCTCGCCCACGCACGAGTGCCTTATTTTCTAAAACTTCGCTCATACGTGACTTTCATCGCTCACATGTGAATTGCACTGGTGATGTCTTATTGCCCATGTACTATTAAGCTCCTATTTTCATAAATAAAATTAACCAACCAACAAACATTTAGTTCACCAAGAACTACGTAAGCTCTGGCTTTCCCAAGGCACTTGGGGAATATGTAGGCACACGACTGCGAAACCAAGGCGATCCCACTTTCAAAAAAAACCAAAAACATCTCACCTTTATTTTCTCTTTTCTCACATAATAAGTAGAAGATTGCAAATTTACACACTAAACACACGAACACATATGAACTAAATGGTTCCCATCGAGTAAGATGGATGTGAGGGGTGCTAATATCTTCCCCTTGCATAACCGACTCCTGAACCCATCTCTTTGATTCCAAAGACCATTTCATTTCTTTCTTGGGTTTTATCTATATTTTCCATTTCCTCTTAGGAATGAATAAAGTTAGATGGCGACTTCATTGAATCGAATAATGTAATTTTTTGAGGCGCTATAAATATTTATCACAATATGACATTTCCAAGGATGAAACTTGGCTCTAGTCTGAGTTTTCTGATGTCTGGCAGGATGTTGTAACATTTGATCAGACATTATGAGCTCATTCTTCACTTCAGCAGGAACAAATTTTGTCACAGGGGTTTTTCTTTGATTATTTAAATACTGATAACTAAACGATATACCAGTAAGTGTTCTACCTTCTTCCCCAACATGAAGAATTTTAACCAACGTATTAGACCCATTGTTTAACATTCTTATGGATTTGGTCATGTTTTCAACTTTGGAGGTTAATAAGGTTACCTCATTTTGAAAATTAGAGACAATAGATGACAATTTCTCTTTTTCAGCCTGCAGTAGTGCTATGATTCTCTTCTACTTTTACCCTGTCTTGCACACCTCTTTACTTCTGACACAAACTTATTGTAGGAATAAGCCAATTCTTCATAAAAGAGATCTTTATCACAAAAATCTTCATCAGATTCATACCTACCAGTGAAGGATGTAACATGCTCAGCAATTTCATTATCAAGTTCACCTTTAGAATCATCATCAAACAATCCCTTCTTTTGTTTCTTGAGGTATATGGGACATTCTGATCTAATGTGACCAAAACCCTCACATTCATGGCACTGAATGCCTCTACCTTGATTTGGCATCTCCTTTGTTCTTCCTTTTCTCTGAAACTCATTGTTCTTGCTGATGTCAGATGAGATGTTCTAGACATTTGGTCTTGATTTCCTATCCATGATCTTTAGCACCTTATTGAATTGCCTCCCAAGAAGCGCAGTAGCATTAGAGGTTCCTTCATAAGTATCCAAGTCAAATTGATCCTCTTCATCTTCATTGTTGGATACAAAAGATATGCTCTTGTTCTTTTTTTCAGATCTGTCACTAATAGCCAATTCAAACGTTTGAAGTGACCCAACAAGTTCATCTACTCTCATGATGCTGATATCTTGGGCTTCTTCAATGGGTGTTACCTTCATGTCAAATCTCTTAGGTAGAGACTTGAGAATTTTTCTAACCAGTGCTTCTTCTAACATATTCTCTCCCAAGGCACTAGATGAATTGGAATTATCAATAATATTCATGTGAAAATCATGAATACATTCATCATCATTCATCCTGAGATTCTCAAATTTTATGGTGAGAAGTTGAAGTCTTAACATTTTAACTTTTGATGTCCCTTCATGAGTGGTTCTGAGAATTACCCAATCATATTTGGCTATAGTACATGTATTTATTAACCTGAATATGTTTTTGTCATTTTCATTGAATAGGGAATTCAAAGCTTTGGAGTTTCCAAGAGCAAGTTCATCTTCGTCTTTATACCAGTCATCTTCTGGCTTCAAGGTCTCCTTCTCATATTTGTACTTCATAATAGGATGGTCCCAACCCTATATGTCAACTTTCCAAGTTTTTCTATCCATAGATTTTAGGATTGCCACCATACGAGCTTTCCAATAGTCATAGTTGGTGCCATCTAAAATAAGTGTTATATTAGTATTTCCTCTTTCCTTTTCAATAGTACTAGAAAATATCTTCCCTGGAGCTCACCCAAAATAGAACAGGGTGCTTGCTCTGATACCAATTGAAATTCTGGTACTGACAGTCTAGATGTCATACACGATGTAGTACCCATATTTTGGTGTAAGATGCCAAACCAGATGTCACGATATTACAAAACTGACAGTTAAAATAAGAAATAATGCAAGAAGTAAATAACACAGTTAATTGTTAACCAATTCGGTTCAACCTCACCTACATCTGGGGGCATCCAAGCCAGAAAATAAATCCACTATAATATATTAGTTTGAAGTTCCAAACAGACCCTATTATGCAAACTTATCACCTAATCACTACCCATGCAATTTCTACCTAAGAACTCTTAGATATAAGACCCCTCTCAATTCCCCTCAGTCACACAATTGTGACGATTACAACAATAACAATGGAAATAGAAGACACTTTTCAAAGACACATAACCAGCTCTTCTTAAAAGCTTATGACTGATTAACAAATTTAACTTGACACACAATCCACTATTTCTTAAAAGCTTATGCATGATGACAATTGCAACTCAATAAACACATTCCAATTCAAGCATCGAAGTAATACATGAATGGATCACAATGAACAATGGACAAACTAAACCATAAAATCTATTCTCTCATTCACAACATGGGCTTGGGATGTTTATCTAAATAAACACATCTCCCAAAAAATTAGCTGCAACACTTCAACATAATCTTCTGCTTGAAAATAGGAACAAAATAGAAAGTTTCTTAAAAGTCTCCAAGATCCTTTTTATGAAACAAATGCACTTCTGGCACAAAATAGATGTTCCTAAAATAACCCTCCTTGGAATGCGTCTGAGTGTGAATCAAAATCAAATAGAATCTCACACTTTTAAAAACAAATCAAACAGCAAGCACAAAGAGAAATAAACTCTCACACTTCAGAAGTCCTTCAAAGACCAGATGTCAGGACATTTGGTCTGACATCACTGCAACAACATCACATCACACAAGAGAGAAATAAACTCTCAACACACCAGCACCAACAACATTATGCTACCCCTATCACAGAACTCCCCCTATCAAACAAGACCAAATACTCCTCCTCAAGAGAACATCCACAAGCATAAAAAAACAAATCAAGCACACAAATGCTACACACAAAAATATTGCAGAGAAAAACAAATTCTCCCAAACAGTCAAGATGTTAGGACATATGGTATGACATCCTAGCAACACTAACACAAAGAAATCATAAATCATGATCCCCCTCAAACACAAACCACATAGAATTAAAACAACACAGTCAATGCAACTTCCATAGCCAATAACTACGAGACCATTACTCCCCCTTTTTAGCCATAAATTAGACAAAAACAAGGGCATTTGTGATATCACCAGCATCAACACCTTCCTCTCCTTCTCCAACAATAGTACTTTCTATAATTCCTCAAATATGTAAATTCCCAATTCATATCAAATATCATATGCATACACAACAAAAATGGATAAATCCCAGCCTCACAGAGCACAACATCAGTGGAAAATAAACTCTCACAAATCATAATCAGGGTGTCATGACATGTAGTGTGACATATAAGTAACTCACAATGAACCAAACAAAAAACAAACCACACAACACTAGAACCTTCTTCTCCCATTTTTAGCCATAATTCCTTTGGAAAATTATCGCTAAAACTATCATGTACACAGAGCTGAAAGGCACTTAAAGCTTCAACAACACACAATGTGCACAAATATCCAGGGAATAGCCCATAAGTACAGAAGCAACAACAAATAAAAATATATAGCAGATGTCATTACTGGCATATGTTTCCTCATCAGAATTACCTTCTGCATCAGCATTTTCA